GTTTAACTCCAAATTCCATATGTCGTCGTGTTGTATTCATCTTTGTTCTTCTTTATATTATTCTGTATTTTTGTTATCATCATGTCAACGTTCGATACGGTTCTGTCTGTTTTTATTAACATGCTGAGCCCGAGTCTTTGTCCGTGTCAATCATCTTTCTTCATATTCACACTGTAATCTACCTGAATTCCTTTTATATCATTGATATATAAGATTTTGTGTTTCTCTCTCTCAACATCTATATTTTTGTTGGTTTTTTGTTTTCGTTTTGTTTTTTGTTCGTGTCTTTTTTCATTTGTTTGGTTGTCGTTTACAATTTCATTTCAGTTCTTTCTCGTTTTTTGTTTCATTGTAGAGACGTCTTATATTCTTCCCAACTGTGATGTGGTACTATCTAAAACTATATATAACTTTATATATATACATATGACAAACAAGCGTAAACAATATAAAATCTGTAAAAAGAAAAAAATCTTTGTGGAAATGTTAGCTTATATACACTTACACACTTTCTCACACCGAACTTTTTTTTTCACTTTCTCTCAATCTCGACGAACATTTGCAGAGAAGAAGAAAAAAGCTCTTTCTCTCAAATACACTGCTATTGGCATTTGAACAAATGAAAACTTGATTGAGTACCATACTTTTGTGTAAAAGTTTTTCTTTTTTGTTGGCAGAAATCTGCATTCGTACATTTATTCACAATGTTTGATGTATTTGTCGAATTGTCGAATTAATTCGTAACAAGATGTTTTCCATCGATGTATATACCATTCTGTGTGTCCATTCTATTGTGATCAATGCAATTGCATTTCGATGTTGATTTTCTATGGAAAATATCTTGTGAATTTTTTTTTTACTTTTTTGCTTGCCGTTTTACATATTTTCATATTGAACAAAAAAATCAATTTTAAAATTCAATAAATTGTAATAAATCCATTGTACAAATGCCAATACAATATGAATAACGATTTGTAGAATAAAAAAAAGAAACAATTTTCTGTACTTAGCAATGCTACACTGAGACTGTAATGTATTTTAGTTAATGTAACTTTATGTATATTTTTAACGTGAGGTGTATTCGCGCTCCCACACGTTTATTTTTCTTTTCTGTGTAATTATACTCACGTGCACAATTATTTAGTTGGAGTCATGCGATTGAAGCGAACAGTTATTTTGTGTGTGTGTGTCGAAATCGAAACAATTTTCCATTGAATGAATATTTAAAAATTATTTAGGATATAGATAGTACATGCATGCATACATGCTGCACAATTGCAAACAGCAAAGATCTGGTCGAAAAATTTCCCTATTGTGTGATAAAAACCAATGTTCAATTGAAAATGATTCCCATTGCAAACGAAACGTTTCCGGAATTTCGAAATGATAACACATGACATCATGGCATTTTCACCAAACTGGGTCAAAAACTTCGGCTGATTTTTGCTGATGTTTTATTTTAAAATAACTGAATTGAAATATAAATACTGCTTCACTTGGTTTTTGTTTTGTTTTATGTAATCGTTGATTTTAATATTATTGTATTATACTGTTTAAGCATATGATGAAAAAAATTAACAACGAGCACTCACTAAATTAAGCATTGAAACCAATGATTCAACCTAAATGTTTGCCCACTCACACACTCACCCGAAAAATGTGATTCACAATGAATCGGTCGAGAGAGCACTCGTTGTTTCATCTATTTATTAATTAGAATGCATATGCGCACAAAACTAATTACATTCACATCAATTTACTCATTGAGATGCCACCAAAATCACCGCAAAAATCAGCGATTGCATAAAATGTGCAATCAATAATGTTCGAATAAATTTTCTGCGGGTGATATTCTCAACATGTATTTAAAAACCGTTTAAACATATATTCAATTGCATTTTAATCAAAGGCTGGCTTTTTTTCCACGCTATTTATTGAATGGCTGGAACAAAAAATCGCCAGTGGCTAATCAACCGGATGTAATTGAAAATAAAAAGAAACAAGAAACTAATTGGTTATACAAAAAACAAATTCAAAAATGCGCTCGATTCAATTAGTTTCCGATTTTTTCAATTTCCGCCCAATCACCAGCAGCACACATTCTTTTCCGGCAATTTTCCAATTTCAAGTTTACACAGAAAAAAAAAACAAATATTATTTACAAGCATCTTGCTATTAGTCGAACAACCGTCCCCAGTGTGCATTAAACTGAAATGAGAGAAACTGTGCATATTAATTTCTTTCTCCATTGATTGATGCTTGTGATTGAACGGCGCTTGGGATAAACTGAAGCATCATCATTTCTAACAACGACATTTAACTAACTACACTTCTTTTTCGTTCGCCGCTTCTGAATAAATGTTTGCTGAGTATGATTTGTTGCAATAGCAAAAATTAATTGACATTTTTGAGAAGAAAAAAATCATCATCTGATGATGTAACCTTCAACTGGAACGTTACAGTTCAACATCAACGAAAAAAAAGAGTCCATTTTAAATAATGAGCAATTTGTTCATGCTCGTTTGATTGACTCGAGCAATTATCCTTGACTAATCACTGCACATTCAATGTATTGCAAATGCGATGTGGGCGAAAGGTCGAATCAAAGGAGGCTCGATGTAGACACTGCAAACACATTTAATGGTGGATGGAAGGAAACAAGGATTTTAAATTGAAACCAATCGATATATATATATATATGGTTTTTTTCTCTGTGGCTTTAAACCATCCAGTTTGACCACTCGAAGTATGACCAGGTTAAATATTCTGGAAAATTGTTGGCCAATGAATACATTATGTGCTTGCTGCGCAATGATTAAAATATTGATTGATATATGCACTCGGTTTATATTTTTTTTATACAAAACCACACAGATATATATAATAATTATAACGAAGTCAATTTGTAATTGTAATTAGTTGCACAAGCATTTCATTTTGAAGTGAAATTTTTGAGCTCAAACCAATCGAATGAACATTTGTTAACCGCACGGACTTTTTTTAGATCTTTAACCTAGATTTTTTTTTATGTAGTGTTTGATTTAGATCGCAATATATTCCATACAATCTAAATTGTTGTGTAAAAAATATATATATATGTATTATCTCCTAATCTTTCTCTCTATCTCGGAACATTTTAATTAAATAAATTATTTCTCCGTACAAAGTACAACAAATAAGTAAAAGAAATTGAAACTGTCTTCGAATAAAAAAAAATCGAAATAATCGAAGAAAATGCTAGACAGAAAATTCTCTAACTAACCAAAACATACTTCTAATACTCTATCCGTATGTATAATGCAATGTCCACTTTCTATATTATAGAAAAAATACACTAGCATCTTTCCAATGTGTAACTTCCAGCATCCTTTCATATACACTATAAATTGTATGTTTGTATGAAATCGCCATCTATTACGATCTAAATGGTAATCGTTCAAGTAATTAGTTCTTCTTCCCGTCTGTCTTAAATCTCCCTCTCTTTTGCCATCACAGTCTTTTTTGTCGAATGTCATCTAAACGTGAACCCGTCTTCTTCTTCTTCTTTCGTCCAACAACACAAACACACACATCAAATCAAATTATAACAAAAATAAACTTTTGACTAAGCAAAATCAAAGAGCCTATTTGTATATGCAAACAAAATGCTTCTTTTAAATTACGCTTATTATTCGTGATGTCTATACCTCTATCTAAATCTATCGCTCTATAACCCATTTGTTGTGTGCATTTTTTTCTTTTATTTTTCTGTGTTATTCATTTTAATTACCAACATTATTCGGTGTGCCCGTTGTTTCTCGTTTCTGTTGTGTATGCGCTCTCTTTTCTATTTATATTTCATTTTCGTATTTGTTGTGTTGGTGTGTTCTTTTTTTTCTCTCTCTCTCTAACTCTGTGCAATAAATCTTCTGTAAGATCTCTCTTCTATCTATTCTATGTTCCATATTAAATCGTTTTAACCTTTCATTTCATGCAAAATCGAATTTTCACATAAACCTAATTCGTATAATCCTCTTTTCTATCTCTATCTGTCTTTCTGTGTATATCGTCACAAAATCCTCCTCTTTCATAATGCAAAACAAAAGAACCAAACTTCACCGCCGATCTGAAGGATATAAATGTTAATTTCCCCATTGACGCTTTTGAATTAAACTAATACAATGCATGATTAGACGTGAAGTGATTGATTATCATTCATTTTCCCGAAACAATCGAGGTTCTTAACCGAAAATATTCAATATGCGCCAAAAATATATGTATATTTTTGCCATTTCAATTCGAACATAATCACAAAATATAAAACCCTTATCTTACATAAATTAAACCTTGAAAAAATGCTAAATTCTAATATTGGTCCTTCGAACGATGAAATTCGGCATTGTAAGATCTCCAACATTTTCCGCGCATTTTGATAAATGAATTTACATTCGAATTCGTACAATGGAAATTTGCTCTCATTGAAATCAATATCTTGGGAATTCAATCATCAATCACTTCACCGTCAATACACTGTACACATCAAATAGTTTCTTTTCTCACACTTTTTTCCTTCTTCTCTCTCTCTCTATGCTTCTTTCGTCTTGCTTTTCATAATATTCCATTTTTCCATTTCAAAATAATAATAATTCATGATTCAAACATTAAAAAATGAATATTTTTTTCTCCCTTCGATTATTTTCGCGTTCGGAGAAAAAAATATATACATTTATTTGAGAAAAGCTCAATAATAAAAAGTGTATAAGAATATTATTTTTTTTTATTGATCATATCATCATGCAAATTTATTTTGCTTCGATTGGATTATATAAGCAACATTAACACCACTAACAGCAAAAAAACAGTAAAAACGTAGATTCTTTTCGCGCACCAACAAAAATACAAACAAACCAACCAGTTATCCTATAACAACCATTTCATTTGATGTCTAATCTGTGTATTTATATTTTTTTCTGCGTTTTTGCGATTTGCTCAACTCAAATCACATTAATTCCATACAATGGGCCGTGTAGACAAATTGGATACGTCGTTTTCGCGGTCACGTTCATCATCAATGTCAAGTCTGGAAAATATCAGCACCGAATCAGTGACATGCTTAACTTTTGCCGATAGTTATACTAAGAAAAGTGGTAAGTACGACGGCATGGACACACTTGAAATTATTCGAATTTTACGAAGTGTTCATGTTCAGCAGCAAATGTTACGTGCTGATTATTTTCGCTGCTTTAAGAGCTTCTTTTATTCGTAAATAATTCATTGCGATTCGTATTTTTCTTTTATTAGATCCATCCACCTTATTGCCAACGTTATGGGTTGGCACAAGCCTTGGGTCAGTTTTAACCATATCGATAACGTTACCTGATGCTGACGTACGTAAAACACAACCGGTTATTCCAACGATTATGGGTATGATTGAACACATTTAAAATGGCAAATGAATTATTTGTTAACACCAAAAACAAATTCAAATTACTTACGAACACCGATTTTAATGAGCTTTTGAAAACTTTTCTCGGGTATCGCTTTTCGTTTGGTGCAGGCGGTTCATTGTTTCGCTTGAAGGGTTCGATTTTATCAATGTCATTTTTGGATTGTAATGGTGCGCTTATCCCATACTCGTATGAACCATGGAAGGATGAAAATCGTGGCGGTGATGCGAGCCGAAGAGATCGTAATGATATCATAATTTTATTTTGAATATCTTTGCCATGTCGGTTTTCATTTTATTTTATGCGATAATCGATTCATACGATCAATTTAATTTTCAAATTTATCGCAATGAGAGATGAAGACCCAAACACACACACATTTCGAATGCAAATCGGTAATTTGATTGTCGCATTTTTGCACAGGTACACCAACCAAACAAGGCAGCAATCGAATGAGTCCAACACTTGGAGCTGGCAGTAGCACTGATTCGTTCAGCGACCGACAATTTATAGCGATTACGAGCGAGAAAACGGCCCGCGTTATTGCATTACCTAGTCAAAATTGTGTTTATCGCCAACAAATCGCTGATACCGATTACGTTGTCAAAGCGGAAATTATTAGTTTAAAAGGTACAGACACGCACTACTATTTTACATTCTGAAAAAAGTGCAAACAAGACACTTTTTGTTCTTTCTCCATTTCGATTGCGATTCATCCATCCATCTTTTCCGTTTTTTGCATGCAGATAGCGTTTGTCTGATTTGCTATATTTCAACGGGACATTTGATAGCATACAGTTTGCCGAGCTTGCGACAACTTATGGACGTCGATTTTCTGCCATTGGCCGATCTCAGGTACTTTTTTGCTTACTCAACACAATTACGTATAATAGATCCTTTTTAATGTTCGTTTTCGTCAAAACAAAAAAAAAACTAACACGAATTTTTGTTAGAATTTTTCTTGCATAAATCCTGTCTTCTTTACACACAATTTCTTTTCGATTTTATTTTAAATATATGCGCGATTTATGATGAATTCACATTTTTTATCCAATTGAGTTCTATTTTACTCTCTCTATTCGCTCGCATTGAATTCAAATTCTCAATTTGATCCGATTTATCTTTCAGTTGTTTGTTTCAAATCATTTAACGTTTTTTTATGATAATTCGAATTTTGTCTTCTTATTTGATTGGATTGTTTATATTTTGGATGAATTGTATTTATTTTCTTTTAGAAAGAATTTTTTTCACAATAAAAAACGAATTTAAATTATGACTTTTTGCAATCAGATGCTTTTCAGAATGCTTAGACATCAATCATTCTAAACATATCTGAGATTTAAAAAAAAATCCACGAATCCAAAATACAAAAACAACCGTAACTGATCTATTGAAAATAAACAAATATGTGATCCTTTTTACACTTATTCTATTGATGAATGATAAAACACTTCCAAATTTGTAATTTTTTTTTATTTGTTAGATAAATATATTCACTTTGCACAAATAGCAACAAATTGTAGTAGATGGTCTGCACTATAATCTGTCAAATTCTATTTCTAAGACTATATATATAGTTTATAAAGAGCAACGGCAAGCATCTTTCGCTTTATAGGCAATTTCGTGTTAAATGTTCGCAGTCGTTAAAATGTGGGTGTATGTGTGTGTGTTTAAATTTCCAACTATTTATGTAATGAGGATTTATAGCCGATCATAATTCCAAATATGCCGCTTGTTTATTATGTATTCCTTGAAAGAAAAGCAAACCTTGATGTTTTCGTGTGAGAAATGTGTATTACCTCGACGATATAAATGCGTGTTCACAAAACTGTAAACAATGTAATTTTTTGTGTATGAAATCCGATCCGAAGCGCAATGAATAAATCCCATTTAATTATCCCTGGATATATTTAACATATGTACGCCGTTAGGGTATGCATTATGTGGATAATCACATAGTCTATTTTATGTGTTGGCAGTGAAATATTGAAAGTAATGCCGAACATCTCTTTAAAATGTTGTTCCCAATTTGTGAATATCCAAATGTCTATAATAAACCATCCCATTTTGCTTCAGCTATTCACGAAATATGCATCATTTTACACTTGTTAACATATTCACCATTCGCGACAAAAGCAAATGCATGCGCATTGCGCAACCAAGTGTGTGCATTTCATATCAAGCCAATACCTTATCCTTCTATACATAAAAGTTCTAAACATTTCCTATTTGATTTGCAGCCTTACACCAACGAAATACGTTTTATAATCGCTCAACAAACAAAATCACATTTCACAAACAGATTTACGAATCAAATGTACGATTGTCCATAGATATGTGTGGGCGGAAAATACACGATCGAATTTAAAGGCACCATGATATTATGATCTAATAATCTCCTAATAAATTTATTTATATGCGCCATTGTAACCGCCGCTTTACCCATTCGGATGTATGTAATTGAGTCCATGAGCGCTGAAAATCCATTTCGATATTGTTTTCAATTATATATGGACGTTTGATAGTCCGTCAGCATTGCATCATAATCTCCTTAAAAATAAAACCTTTGATCCAGCGGCATAACGGCCCTTTTTACGTGCCATGGTTTAAATAACAAAATGCATCACATATTTATTGCGTTCAATACATAATAAACAAAGCGACTTAAAATATACAGGAAATTAAAAGTGAAATACACTTGTAAATCAGCACTCATCGAGCACACATATACTCTCCTCACACAAAATACGGTGAGATTTTTCATCGCAACATTATCGGTTGAATTACGTTAGTAGGATTACACGAATTTAGTAATTGTTTAATATAGAGCTTTCGAATCACTCACCAAAATGTAGTGCGCACACACACAAAACAAAACCATTCACCATTTTCAAAATGTGCACTCAAAATCGTTCATTGTGTTCATGTAAATCAGCGCGAGGCATTTCGTTTCGATATGACTCAAATCGAGTGCAACGAAAAATGTGTTCCAGTGTTTTAGCACCTTTGTTCTTTAATTCTTAATTAATATGGAAATGTAATTGTTATCTAAAAAGTTTGTCAAGGCAATTAATACACATTTTGGTGAAGTAGAGCAGCAGCGGCGCCAGCAGTAACAGCAACAAAGTGCCTTTGCACATACAATTTTGAAACACAAAAATAGACCTGAACACCGTTCGTATGCGTGTATTTCTTTTGTTGTTGTTATTCTTGCCTTATATGTATCCACTTTTAGCTATTTGTATTAGCAAACACATAGAGATGGAAACGCACCAGTGCAATAATGCCAATGTCACGCAAATGAGCACGCCTGTCTATCTTTCTCTCTATTTATTTATCCCTTTCAATCTCTAATGTGTAATTGGTTCTAGTCTCTTGCTCAAAATCCCCGTTTTTTTTTCTCTCTCTCTCTCTAATTCCTGATTTCTCTGTACACTCTCTGCTCTCTGTCTTTCTATCTCCCTTAGCATTTTCCAATTTTCAATGGAATTGCATACATTTCGATTGTAACCACTTTCAAATCGTTGGCAACCTAATGAAATGAACGAAACATTCTTCTTCGCGTGATTGAAGCACAGAATCGTATTTCGGTTTGGTGCTGACTATGTTTGGTGCCGCACACAACAAACTTGTATGCGGGATAGATTCAAATTTAGTTTGACATAATGAAAAAGCTCATTCGAATATATCGACGCGAGGATTTTGATATGCTAACGAATTTTTCACCGTCAATTGCAAATCGCAACGAACCTCATACCATGTGGCTTCCGTTCATTTTGGAAATTGTTTAAGCGTGAACAAACAGTCGAATTTATGTAATTGAAAACTTGCAACACAATTTCGCAAATCCCGAACAATAAGACAAATTCACAAATATTTATCCAATTTCGTATTACATTGAATTTTCGAAGTCATGATGAGATGTTTGGTTGATCTTCAGTTAAATCTTCAATTTGATTGCATTTATTGAATGTTAAATATGCTTCATTTAAACAACAAACGAAGTAACACTACTCTTTTTTTAAATTTAAGCATTTACCAATGACAATAGATACAATATGCTCCCGATGAATTTTGTTGCCCTGAGCACCCTGACATTGTTGCAATGTGTACATAAAACCCAGCATTAAACAAACTTACAAACAAACGCTATATAATATAGAATCAAGTTTAGACAAAAAAAAATAATACTAATACAATGAATCAGGTACTTTAGACACACTTATTTACTAAACATATGTATATAAATGTATTAGAGCGGTCACCAATGCAGCTTCAATTAACAATGAAAATAATAAAAAAATAAAAAAATATCAAAATTCAAATCCCACTCAGCAGTCAGTTGTTTAACATTTTGGATCGAAACAAATTCATTTTACACTCTTTTTTGTTCTCTCCTAAACAAAATCCACCTTTATCAATTTATCCGTTACATTTTTGTATATGCATTTGTTTTTTGAAAAGATTAAAAACAAAGAAAAAAAAATTATACGAGAGCGCATTCACTCCAATTTATCCCCTTGTCACTCCGAAAACTGTTTAATATACCACTTCCCAAATCCAGCCGAATATTTGTAAAAGAAAATCCAAAAAAAAACGAAGTGTTGTTTAAATGACGAACATTAAACAAACAATTTAAAATAAACGAATCCAGTAAAAGCTGTAGCTGTCTATTTGCCCATATTTTTCTTAACTAAAATCCAAACATGTGCTTCTTCTTCTTCTCTTGTGTACGTGTCTTTTTTTTTCATTTTCGGTTGTTTGTTGATCCAATTATTGTGTGTGTGTGCAGCTTTCAAACAAAATGTAAGCAAGGAATTGTAGATCCAATGCTTTCAATATGGGGCCAACAACTAATTGTGCACGAGGATACCAACCAGTAAGTTTGTATTGTCTTCTTCGGCTACTGAACCATACCTACTTTATATTCCTGTATACTTTTTTCGTTCGTTTCTTTTTTTTTCGTTTTTTTTTCTTTGTTTTTTGATTATTATTATTATTCTTATACAAAAGCGGCACAAAACAAAAGCAAAACTTCTCAAGCCAACATTTTGATAAAGACGAGATTTTTGTAAATAAATTAAGGTGGGGATGGTTTTTGGTTCATTTTGGCTTTGGCATTTTGTCTACCACGACGATTTTTTTTTGTGATTCCCATGAGAGACACGGTAAATACGCTGAAGACTTAAAAAGCAATGAGCACAAAGAGATGAGGTTGTTATCTTCTCGCCCAACTATTATATACGGGACACAATGCCATGAAAATTTAATTTTAAAACAGTTCAAAAGAACCATAGCGTGTATTTATGTTCCGTGTAGTTGACAGCAACTTTTCAAAACGATAAATAGAAGATAATTAGTTGGACGATGGAGGTAATGTATTTATATTCAATGATTGTTCATTTTTCATGATTCCCACATGGCACTTGTACGAGTCGACAAAATTTATCTATGAATCACACGATGGTGCCAAGAAGTTGAAAACTTTTTTTTTTTCATTTCAATGGAAGTCTCGTGCCTGATGTTTCTTGATTGACTTGTGGTTTTTACGTTTTCAACAAAGTGTTTCCGATTGTGTCAAATGAATCAAAAATCAGGGCGTCAAGATATCAAAGCCGGAATACCACACAAACCAAGATCCCAATAACCAGTAACCAACATAAGCGTTAAGTTACAGCATAATATTTTATGAATTACGTATATAGATTTTTGAAACGATGTCAAAACGAATGAAGCCAACGACCATCGAATTTAAAGAGGGAAAATATCGATCTTTTTTTTCATTTTTAATTGATATTGAATTATTAAAAATTAACATAGAGTTAATACGAAGTATAATATTGATTTTATTTGATTCTTTTTTTTTTTCATTTACAGTTATATAAAATAACGTAAATAATCTCAGTTAAACCAAATGCTCATGCCAGACTGTACAGCGAAGCATTGTGACGCTTTCTTTGTTTAAATTGAGCATTTGGGAATGTAACTAGACAGAAAATCTATATTAAATATTCATATTCCAGACAGAAATGTCTATGTAAATAATAAATAGTAGATATGAATATATGTGATCATATGGACCCAATGAAATATACGTAAATGATTGAAAATCGGCAATCTTAGGCGAAATCATAACCATAAATTCACATCAGATACATGTACTTAAGAATGAGCTATCAAACAACCCCGAGGAAAGGAACATGTTTTCGATTTCGACTATTCTCTTTGACCTTAAACATTCCACCAAATATTTTTCTTCCATGTATTTGTAAATCTGACTTTGGACTATATCTCTATCTATCTATCTCTCTCTGTCTCTCTTCGCTTTTGCCAGCACCATTTATTTCCATTTTTCAGAGTGATTCCACACATTTTATCACTTATCAAAAAACAAATTACTAATCAAAAACATTCATTCGCATGCAAAACATATAAATATTCCTCTAAACTCGTAAATTGACTGTAACACAACACCAAACGTTTTCAAAATAATTTGATAGATGTGAAATGTGTGATCGCATGTTTTATTTTATTTCAAATTTACTTATTAGTTGATAATTTTTCTCTTTTTTAATACAAACAAATATATATATAGAGTTTAAACAACAAAATATTATATATTATTATTAATTAATTATCGAATTTGAGTTCGTTTCAACGGTCGTCATAATTGAATAATGAATGAGAAATGTTGTGTTGAGTGAAAATCGTGATATACTGATAATTTTTGTTTACTGAGTTGGTGACTTACAAGGAGAATTGTAAAGCTGTGCGCGGAATAAATAAATACAAAATATTGAGCGAACAGCTTTGAAGGTGCTCCTTGTAAGAGCTCTGTGAATGAAATTATCAGCTCAACAAAACGCTGTTCATTTATTTTTAATTATAGCAATGAAATATTAGATCGTAGTCAAAATTTTCTACATTGTCCTAGCTCCTCAATTAACATTGTTGTACTCTTTTTTTTCGTTTTGTTCCATTTGAATTGTATTTTGAATGTGGCATTCAGAATTTCCAAGACATTTTGCTTTAGTAATCGGGGGCATGGCTTGTATTTGGCAACACCAACCGAAATTCAAAAGTTCACTGTTTGCGATGAATTTTGGTAAGACCCATTCAATTCTGTTCGCGATTCGTTTTTGTCTAACCTTAAGTCATTAAATATTCACTAAATCTATTTTTTTATTTCTGTAGTCAATTTATGAATGAAATGATTGGTGAACTATTTTCACCAACCGATATGCCCGAACCACCTAAGGAAAGTTTTTTCAAAGGTCTTTTTGGAGGCGGTGCACGAAATTTGGATCGTGAAGAACTTTGTAAGTCTATATTTAAAAATATCCAAATATAATCATTCTTGATCTACTTAAATTGAATTTTAATAAAAATTTATAATAAAGTCGGTGAAAGTGGCAGTGGTAAGCCGAATCGATCGGTTGCCAAGCATATACCGGGTGCAAATCTTCAAGAATTGGGCACACGTGCAAGTACGGCCGCATCTGAAATAAGCCGTGCACATCAATTGGCCATGGAGCGTGGCGAAAAGCTGAGTCAATTAGAGGATCGTGCCGAACGAATGTCGAATCAAGCACAAGAATTCAGCGGAACAGCTCACAGTCTTATGCAAAAATACAAGGACAAAAAATGGTATCAACTGTAGTAAATACACCACCACCACACCACCAATACCAAAACCACAGCCACTTAAAACACACACATATACACAATCACAGACACACAAGATATAAAATATATCAACCTTTGATCATTTATATGGGGCTATACAAAACATACCAATTCACACATTTTTCGTCGATAATGTTATCATTTTATTTTATGTTCTTCTTGAAATCCAAGCATATAAAACGGTTTGTAAACGGACGAGAAATGAAAAGAAATGAACAATCAGTCGTATTGTCTATAAACGGAATATCGAGTCTCGCAAGAACACGCAACATTAAATATTCACGATCATTTTTATATTAAATTCACTATATTGAATTTTTTTTTCTTTTTTATTTGTTTTTAAAAAGTTTCCGTACACTGTATTTTATTTTAGTTTTTGTTTAAATTGAAGCAAAACGAATATCCGGTAACAAGCTTTACGTCTTCATTCTTCATGTTGTAACAATTTCTATGTGTACCATTTTGAAATGTGTTTTTCGAAATTTTTCAAAATAATTTAATCTGTCTTATGATCTGTTGCTTTATTGTAATTTTCAAAGAATGAAAATCTCTCTTGATTTCTGAATGCATTTCTATTTAAATACTCGTATGTCTATCGAAAAAAATAAAATGTGTCAATTCACAATTTACTTAACCAACATTCGAATGAGAAATGAGATTGCAGTTGTGATTTTTTTGCGAACACACACACCAAACAACCGAGTGAATAAATGAAATCGAAACTAAACATTTAATATATTTAGTATATATAGTGTATAGGAAATTGAATGAGTTGCATCGCGTCCAAGTAATACATCATTTTTGCAATAGGCTCGATTAGTTAAACATTTTTCTATTGTATTAAAGAGTCTATATATGACAAAAAAAATACAAAAATATTAGCTCATAAGACTCGTTATTGAATAATAAAACAAAATGTAGCCTTTACTTTGTATATTTGAAGAGATATTATATATATATACATATATGAGAGGAAAAAAACTAACTGTGTTGAATTGTATTTTTGAAGTAGGTAAAAAGCAAGATAAATGTGAGATTTTAAATTCGCCCGTGTATCGTTCCGGATGAAACTCCATTTTATGTGAGATTAATTGTTTGTTAAATATATTTAGATTCTATTTACGTACGAAGACAAAAGTGCAAAAGCATGGAGTAAATTTAATAAAGTCAAGAAAAAATTAATCCTATAAACAGACAAAATATATAAAAGAAATCGAGTAGATAGTCATAAACAGTTTTTTTTCATTGATAGTTCGACCGAAAAGAGGTTCTCTATTGTATGTTCCACAAGTAGCTATTGAAAGTCAAAGCGAACATTAGACATTTTAATTAAATAGGACTAAATTAAAGCGAATAATAATATGCAATATATAATGAACATGTAAAAATGATGTTAGAATAAAGCCATAGCAGCTAAGCATTTAAGCATTTGTTATATTTGTAAATATATATATTAACAGAAAAGAGATATATGTAGCGCGACAAATCCTGGCTATCTTTTTCCAATTTGCTCTTCGTCCAATTCCTCAAAATACAAAACACATTTATTGTTTCGTTGTTGATGACGCCCATTCTTATGTTTTTTTTTTTTTTTTTTTAATTGGAATAGGCTTATCTTTATCCCATTGGCTGTAATTATGATTTTCTCCTTGTTTTTCTCTTATCAACAATAAAAGATCTTGTCACTAATTTACATTTTTCTTTTCAGTTGTTGCATTTTTAATTTTTAAGTTTTTTATTTTTTTCGGCAGTTTTAGTTCTATATCGTGATTCTTTTTTACAATTCAATGCTTTTAAATTCATTCTAAGTGTTCTTTGTCTTTTTGTTCCTATTATTATGTGTTAATTTTATTTGATGATGCAAATTGCATGTGTGTAAATGCTTCCATAGACCGCTTCACATCAAGATGGATGATTTTCCAATGAAATCACCGACTTTCATTTAAATGCCCATCTCCTCGTTTTGGAAACGTCTATAAAATCAACAATCATGAATATTTCGTGTTCAAATTTATGGAATTTTGAATTACACACCAATAATCAAAAATACACCGAACAAAATCCAAACATATCTGCTTTTGACGTGTTGATCAAAGAGACAGCCTTCAGTTTTGCAAAAGAAACAGATTGTTAGTGTGCAGTGATGCGGGGCAATTTATTTCAAAATATAACAAGCATTCACACAAAGTGAAAAAATCCATAGATGATGACGTAAAAAAATTTAGGGGGGGTGATGGCAAAATTCTGTAGGGGGTTCCTGGAAAAATCCATGGGGGGCCCTGACGATGTCAACAATTTATACGAAATGAGGATAAAATCGTTTTTTTTGGAAGTCACTTTTTGAGGCGAAAATCTCTAGCCAAGAAAAGTGAAGAGCAAAAAAAAAGGTTCTCGTTTCCATGGAAAAAAACACATCCATTTACAATTTCCCTAACCGCAGAAATGATGACGCAATGGTACATATTTTAACATATCTTCCAAATAAATCAAAACTACTTGGGTACATCAAAACCAATAAAATGCACCATTTAATGCTGTTTTTGATTTTTTTTCTAAGTGAATATGAGCATTTTGTATTTGAAATTGACGTGCAAACATCGTTACATTACATTACATTTAAAATGAGAATCATAACATCATATATAGAAAGGTTTTGCTTTTTTACCATATCACATCACATAGTCAGAATGAAAGTGAGTCTAGATATACGAATGAAGCCCGATAAAAACTGTTGAAGATTTGCAGAAATTTAATTTAGTTTTTTTCAGTGAAAATCCTCCATTGAAAGAGGAAGAAATATTAGGTTGAAAAAAAAATGTTGCGCAAAGAAGCCATAAAGAGGCCACCGTTCACTTTTATTACATTTCGGCATTTATTTAATTTGTCTCAAAACTAAACATAAACAAAAACAATGTCACACAGCTTGCGAAAACACAAACACAAAATCATTTTGCTTTTATTCATCATCATCATCATCATCATTATCATCAACAATAAATTGTTTCTCAAAACATTAAATGATATCAACATTATTTTCTCCTCAGGTAAAAAGAATGAAATTACATATGCTTTACGAAATGTAATGAAGTTATGCGATGATGTTCAACCAGAACAAAAAACATTCACTAAATATTGTTGGAATTCTTGATTTAAAAAACAAATAAAAAATGATTTATTTCTGTGCATCGTGTGCAGCAGATCGAGTTGGAGTTGAAAATATGATACTTGAACAACGCAAACAAACAAAGTCATACAATTATTTTGCCATTGTCAAATTCGCAGAGTGAGAGTGAGAGAGAGAGTTGTCCGAGCACAGTGATAGAACGTAATTCGGAATTATCAACTGATAGTATAAATCCATAAATACCAAAATGCAAAACTATTGCAAAAAATGACAAAATTATATTGATATGAATTATTCCATAAAACCAAAAAAAAAAAACAACACTTTATCGTAAATGCATAGCTGACAAAACCTATTTTTAGTCTCACTTTTCAGAGCTATTGTACGTATTTAAGTTATATAAGTGAATAAAAACTATTGAATGAAATATTTGACGATCTTTTCGAGAAAAACCACAACCACACGTATTCAATAATAAAATCAAAAAAAAAAAACAGAAGCCACAGTTTGCTTTTTTTTCAAAATCAATCTAGTGACGAAAAGCTATTATTATATATTATTCGAACATTTCTAAAGTAAAAACACATGTTATATATTATACAAGAGAAAGAAGATAAAAAAACGTTTATAAAATATTATTATTATGATTATAACTGCATATTAAGAGTTTTTTGATTATACAAAAGTAGGCGAGAGGTTCGTTTGTGAACAAAGAGCATATCAAATCATTTTTTTTTGCTCTTTCATATTCAATATATTTGTTTGTAGCCCAACAATATATTTTATTATTTAGATGTTTTTTTTTTATTTGCATAGCGATGGATGAAGTTTAATTCATTCGCCGGAGTGGTTATTTTTTCTTCAAACAAACTAGCAGCATGTTTTTAGTCCTTCTGATTACATTTATTGAACGTATTGGATTTTTTTTTCGTTTGTGAAGCAGCATGGAATCAATATAGAAGCAAAAAAATCATAGAGTGTGCATCAGTCACATACATACAAACACAATTTTTACATAATGTCCATTGAATTAAGCAATAGGATGATGGGACACAACTGATGTGTCAATGTATCTATAGTGACTTTGTATTGAACAGACGTATCAAAATGTGTAACAAACATTCAACTAATCAAAGTACAAAATTACTTCTCTGCCTAGATCGTACGCTACACTTTGCACTCTCGCTCCTTTGAGATTGTGGCTATAGCAAACACAGTTGAACATATAGTTGATGATTTCTTTTTAGATATGAACTGAAGTTCCGTTTCCGTTTTCTAATTAGCTTTAACAAACTTTGATCTGAAACAAACAAACAAAAATAATTACAAAAAGTTGTTGTCAAACAGTTCAAATGGACCCCGAACATTCTGCCATACCGGTGGAAATAGTATGTTGTAGTTTATGAAATCGAAAAGGAATTATAGAAAACACACACTCTGCTTAGAGCAACCCACTCACGCACATCATTTCAAATGCAACATATTCCTGTTCAATAAAATAATCAACCCCATTGCATCAATAGCTCTACTTTTTTTAAGTTTTTATTTGATTTTTTCCATCTCCTTCTCCCCCCCCCACCCCTTTTTTGATGTAAAAAAAAAAAAAAAAAATCTATTCCCCCCAGACTAAATGTGTATTTGTACATAGTGTCCAGAATTAGTGACATTTAAAGTAAAAAAAAAACCAACGGCAATGCTGTTACATATTTAATGCTAGACGTAGAAATTTCAGCCAAAAAAAGAAGAGAAAATATTTGTCATGTTTATACTAAAATAGTAGCAAGAAAAACAAATGTGAATATAATAATTGTTCAGTTTTCATTAGTGTATTTTTGATCTTTGGTTCATTCGTTTTTGAAGTTCAAATGCGGAATGTATGCATTGAAAAACTCGTTAAAATATATCTGTGGTTTCAACGTATTTAATACAAAAAAAAAGAATACACGAACAAATGAAAAAAAAAATATGGGGAAAAACCAGAAAATAATGTAAATTATATACCCAATTGCGCAAATGATTGAAATGTCGCGCTGCTGTAAAGAAAAAAAAATTACATATTTTGTGAATAAATATATTTTTAACGTATTCATATTAATCTTGGAGATCAAAACCATTTGAAATGTCCACATAACAGACACAACAATTTTGCTAATATAGAACAGTATGCACAACAAATCCAAAACCATTTTTGAATGATCCGATACTGTTCAAAAGGAAATCAATTGAAATCGCCTTTCCAACAATACATTTTACGCTTTCAACTTTGAAGTGATGCATTTTAACCATAAATCCACAGTGTTACGCATTCAAAATCAATTGAATCTGGCCAATTGCCATGGTTGCCATTTGTCACTTGAATTTCGAAAGTACACGATTGATTTTTTGCTGCAAATAGTAGCTCAAAGCTGAGCTTATATGTTTTGAAAAGGATGTTACTATAACTCAAAAACCAATGTTATGATTACAACAAAAATAAATAAACAAAAGAGAGAGAAGAAAGTTTTAGTCCAACTGCAAAAGAGACGCTTATCTCTTTTATGTTGTTATAAATTGCATAAATTGGCTCAAGTCCAATTTAATTTACATTTTTATCACAGACAAAAAAATAAAAAAACAAAAAACCATGTAGATTAATTGAACGCTTTGTGAATGTTGACTTGTAGAAATCTTAGCAGTAAAACATTTTTGTAAACAATCAAAAACCTAGCGAAATAAAAAAAAACCAACAACCGGAGAACCATCGTTCGAATTGACAGATGACTTTAATATTATTAAATGATGAAAATTATATATGAAAAAAAAAACAATATAGATATAACAATATGTGAAATGCCGTAGACGTATTCCTTTCAGTTTCAATTGAGCATTGTATTGTTTTCGAAGACGTACAAAAAAAACAGTCAATTCAAAGGAAAAAATCATCATTTTCTTCAGTAAATCCTCCAACACCATTTTATATTAGATCCGTTCAATTGAAATTTATTTGGATTTATCCAAAAACAACGGAGATGATTGAAAATTGACATTGACGTGTCCAAATCCAGACAACCACAATATGTTATATGACAATAATACCGATTATTTTGATTTAAATTTGATAGAGTGCAGTTGAATATTTCGAACATCATCAATTCCCGATCGGGAGTCTCAAACCATCAATTTGTTCGATAAAAAAATGAGTGTGTGAGAGAGAAAAAACACAAATTTTCTTCTTCACCTCATTTGATATGTGTAATATTTGTCTGAAAACTCTTCCCGTTTGAAGATTTCTTTGGAATACGGCATTTGAGCAAATAAATTCACTTGGCATTGACACCATTTCGTTGAATAAATTCAATAAAAACCGTTCACCGTCACACGATTAGTCTTCCGTTCAAATTGAAATATATAGAAAGGAATATATTGGGTTAAAATTTGTGTTAATATAAATATATTTATGTGCAGAAACACAATCATTTTATTATTCGTACAAATAGAATTGTTTTTGTTAAACTCGAGCCCAAAACCAAATGGCATTTATGTTTGAATAGGCATTTTAGCTTAGCTTTGTTACATTACATTCTGGTGGCCAACTGACCCATTTCTTTCTCTTTTTTTTAAAAATCAAATCGATGTATATGTATTTTACATTGATCACTTCTGAAGGATCAACGAATGAAAATAAAACCACTTGTCTTCGGTCAAAATCAAGTCTCATTCATTAAAAGAATGGCCGAAACCAAAAACTGGCTAAAAAAAAAACAGAGTATTGCTCAGCGCTGCTGCCATCCAGAGCATATTAAAATATCTTGCTGAGAATGCGTCGTCCGTCGCATG